GATCCCATATAGGGATGGCTGGTTGGCTCACTGGGTGAGCATGGTGCTGACAACACCAAGTTAAGGGTTTAGATCTCCTTACCGGTCATCTTTAAAAGAAAAAAAAAAAAAAAGTCTCACTCCAGAGTTGAAATACTAATGGAAAGGGAAGGATAAGAAAGGGCATGGTGTCAAAGTCTTGATGTTTGGGGACCACCCTAGATCTCTTAGATGACAGAAAGTAGCCATCAGTCAACATTGTGTATCCTCCAGCATGGAGGGGCTTGATTTGTGTTATAGCTTTTTGGCTCATTCCAGCCTCTTCGAGGCCCCACCTCTGTCCAGCCAAGCATCCCAGCCATGCGTGCATCCTCCTGTGACATCACCACCTTGTACTGCTCTGCTTGCCTTCTCATGTGCCTTGCTCCCCGTGCTTTGGCCCTGCAGCTCCACCTCCCCAGATGTCACCCTTGGCCCTCTCCTGTGGCAGAGGTGGCCTCATGGATGAATTCACTGATAATGATGCTCTTGTTTGGCCCAGCCTGTGCCTCCTTTCTTCAGGCATGGTCCGCATAGGCTGCAGCAGGTGTGGCCGTACCTTTCATGTATGCAGAAACAACATCCTGGAGTCCCCTTTGTAGCATCCTAGTGAGACAATGTCTCATTGATGCAGCCCCTTGCTTCCTGTCTCGGGTTCCTCTTGTCATTTTCTCTAGCCGTCTTGTGTGTGTGTGTGCAGTAGATCAGGACATAGGTCTTGATATTGGATTAGATCCTTCCACCTCCCTCCTCACCCAGCAAAAAGCATCCTTTTCGATCCCAAGCCAGAAACCTGAGAGTCATCCTCGACTCCTCTCTCCTCCACATCTCCTACATCTAGTCAATCACCAACCCAATCTATATTCAAAATTACGTGTATCTACGTCTCACCATTCCCACTGCTGCTGTCTGAGGTCAGACTCATAGTTTCTCGCCATGACAACTGCACGAGTGTCCTAGCAACTGTTTTTTCTTCCAGTTTCACCTCTCTTTAATTTCTCCACCGCACAGCACCCAACCTGGTTTTGCTAAAGCTCAAATTGGTCTCTGTCTCTCTCTGTTTAATGTTCTTCAAACACTCTGCATCATTTCCAGCATGAAATGGAAGCTTCTCCTCTGTGACCTAACCCCTGTCTACCTCTATGGCTTTGTAGCTTGCCATATTCAGTCTTCCTGAAAACCAAGACTCAGTCCTTCTGAACTACCTGGGGTTCTGTAAAGGTGCGGGCTCTTCTCTGCTTTGGATGAATGAGGTGTCAACCTGGCAAAGCACAATTTCTCCTTCTTGTAAACCACAGGGCAGAGAGAACTACTAAAAGCACAGGCACCTCCCATGACAGGTGCAGGTATTCATATTTAGAACAAATAAAGAAAACCACTATTTGATTCACCAAATTTTCTAAGTAAAAGAGAAATCCAAGAAATCCAAGAATCCAAGAATCCAAGAAATCCATGGATTCTGCTGTTCAAAGACATGCAAAGTGCAAATTAAAGATATATTGCATCATAATAACAGAGCTTTGGCTTGAGCTTTTAACATAAATTTATAATAAAGCAGGTTTCCTTTTTCTGATTTACTTAC